GAGGCGGCCTGGATCGTCTCGGCGAGCGTGGGCTACCGCGGAAACGCGTTAATTGCGACGGCGGAATTCTGCGCACGCGAGGAAACACAAAGCGCTGTTTGTGATAGGAAACGGTCGCTTCCCTCAGAAGCTCTCACAGCTGCCGTCCATGCAGCCTCCTCCAGAGCCTTTTTTTTAAAGCATTCACAGACCTGCCCCCGGCAACAGTCGGGGGAGAGCAAAGTTACTCCCCTTTTACCAAAAAAATTCCATCAGTGAAGAATGACCTTTTTTCCCCCTTGATAAACCTTAGAAGGAAGAAAAATACCCGCACTGCCAGGGAAGTGACACTGGGATGGAAACCGTCACGCAGTATCTCCAAGAATAATGGAGTACTTTCAGGCCCACAATTAAGTACACGTTCGTTCATTTTTCAGTGACTAAACAGAGTTGTTACCATAGTTCAGGCTTTTGCTCAAGCCTTGCAGCATCACCATACCGTCCTCTCAAGCTCCCGTATACGTTGTTAGCTTGATTTAGTGTTAATATTAATTTCCTCATTGCCAAAATGTATGTGGCTGGGTTAACCCCACAAGTACACTTATTCCACTTTTCCTCTTGGAGTGCTTAGCATATTTAAAGCTTTTTTTTTCCTCCTCTTTTTTCTCCTGTTCCCTGTTATTATTGCTCTTTGTCTTCCACTGCTCATGCCCCAGTTTTGGAAATGCACCGCTCGGGGAAAACCTCCTTCCCCATCAGGGTGGCTCCCTGCAGGGGGCTGTTACGGGGCTGCTGCTCAACCAGCAGCGTCCTGCAGGTCCTCTCTGAACGGAGGCGAGCAAGGGGCACACCGGTCTGAATTAAAAAAAGTTTAATTAGGGTGTTGGTATAAATCCGTTATTGAGACATACAGATTATTTGATCTTACAAATCCAGATAATTATGTTCCCAGTGATCCAACCAGCAGTTGGATTTGCAGCACTACTAAGGTTTAAAATATGGAAAATGAATTTGAGAGTTCAGATTTTGGGGGGGGGGGCAGCTGACTTGCACTGATTTTATGAAACTAAATGAGAAATCAAAGTTAGGGGAATGGGATTCCCCTAGAAGCCGTTTGCTCCTACAAGCCCTGGTTTCCAGCAGCTGAGCAGAAAGGGACAGGTTTTCTCCTGGTCTGGAGAGGTCAAGCGCCCGTGTCCCCTCTGAGGTGAGGTGCCCCCCTGGAGCCATTCAAACCAGCTCACAGCAAAATACAGAGTCTGGACGGTGCGCTGAGCAGGCAGCGAGGTGGACTGGGAACTGGCTGAACGGCGGAGCTGAGAGGGTCGCGATGCGCGGCCCAAACAAAGCCTAGCTGCAGGCCTGCAGCTTGCGGTGTCCCCGGGAGTTGGTACGGAGTCCAGTGTTGTTCGGCTTACTCATCAGCGACGGGCGAGAAGGCTCAGAGCGCACCGGCGGCAAGTCTGCTGATGATACAAACCGGGAGGAGCGGGCGATGCGGCTGTGCTGCCGCTCAGAGGGACCTGGACGGGCTGGAGAGCGAGCAGAGAGGGTCCTCCTGGCGGTCAAAGGCAAGCGCAGGGTCCTGCCCCTGCGGAGGACAGGCTGCCAGAGAGCAGCTCTGCAGAGAAGGACCTGAACAAGAAAAAACCCTGTTTCTCCGCTTGAAAGCATTTCCACTTTGAAAATACAGACTAATTAGACTGTACTGGAGATTTTAAGGAAAAGACAGGTATGATTAGTAAAATTTTATTATCCTTTTCCTGGAACAGATATTCTTCGAGGCTATTTAGGTGAGTAAAACTTAATTATGAGCAATACTTGGAAAACAGAGGGCAAAACTCACGAAAACTAAAAATGCATCAATGACAAAGTTGTACTGAAAGAAGTACTGCAGCTTAGGCAGAACTGCATTTATTTATGCAAACCAGAAAAATATTTCAGTTAATTTTATTAAAATGACATAAGAAAATTTTAGGATTAATACCAAGGACATCATTAGTCAAACCAGGGATTATTGTAGGTAGTTTTAATCTCAGCGTTCTTTTCAGAGTTGTTTAACCCTCTGTTAATAGGGAGGTGTTTTCATGCGCATTTCAGGGACAGAAAGCAACTCCGGAAATGTATCTGACTTAATGGCAGGCTTAGCTGCATCATCTTAAAGCAGAACTTTCAGTGCTACTTCTTTAAATCCACTTGTTCAGCCTTCTCAATGAAATCTAAGTTCTCTGCAAGTGTCTCAATATAATTTTTAACCTCATGGTCTCTAGAGAGATCTTTCGTAAACGAGGATGCAAAAAGGCATAATAGGTGAAAAGGCAAGGGCTATATCCCTCAATAGGGTCATTTTATTTTCACCAGCTTCAGTGGTAAAGTGACAGCCAGTATGCACAGTATTGCAGTGACCAACCTGAGTGATTTGGACACTGAATTTTTAGCTGGCAGAGCTGCTTTGGAGTTTGACATTAGAAGGCTTACCGCTTTCTGCACGCCCTGAGTTGCTGAGCTCTTTGGGCCATCCAGCATCGAAACCTGAGGAACTGCTTTACAAATACAATCACACCAACAAAACAAAATTAAACATTATTACACATGAGATAGCAAACATGCAATATTGTATATGAATTTTTTCAGGTCTTGGGGGATAACTGAGGGTGTTTGGGCTTTGTGTGTGTGTTGGGAATCCCTTTCTAGAAGCAAAATCCAAGCAGGGATGGGATGTACACAGCAAACTATACAATTTCTCAGTAGACAGAAATACCCGGAGGGCAGGCTGGGATAGCAGCCTGATGGGACCTTGACGCAGCACGCCAAAGTGTCACCAGGTCTCCCTCTGGGGCGCAGTCATCCCAGTAACAGCGTTCCACCGAGAACGGATGTCAGAACTAGCAGGAAGGTGAGGACCAAGAACTTGGATGGATTAGCTGAAGACTTGCACATGTATCTAGTAAAAAGATCTTTTGATAAACGTAGAAGCTCTTTGGACATTGAGAGAAGAATTTCAGATTATTAGGGTGCATTTTTTAATCCTTCAGCTGCAGAGGAAACTGACAGTAAGCCATATAGTGACATGAGCATAATTTAAGATAGACCAAAATAAATGCTAGGTGATCTCTAAAGATGCATAGGTCAGTACTGTTGGACTCAGCTATTCTGCTGGGCAAGAAAAAGCGTCACGTGTTTCATCGGAGTGAATCACAAGCTTTCTCTCCCTCGTAGAGGATGCCGGTTGTTCTGAGAACACCAAGCTTACGCGCTCTTCTCTTGTCAGGGCCTACGTCGTTGAGTCTTAACACAGCGTCCTTGCAGCTAAATATTTTGCCAAATATTCTGGTGCGAGTTCTGAATCGCAGCCCTCCTTTCTCAGTTTCGGAGGCAGCACACCTCAAACGCACCACTGCCTGGGGAGCAGTGCTGCTGCAAGAGCGAAGCTGCCCTGCCGTGCTTACTGTTAGTCGTTTCTGCAGCACCTGCATTTCCCTAGCACGAAATCTCAGCAGTTAGTTATCTCCCAGGTCTCTGATCAGCCTGAGCAGGCTCCTTTTTGGCCTGTGTGTGTAAGAACCTCCTCAGGGTGCCAGAGAGATCCTCATGCAGGCGAGTTGTTTGATTATGGATTCTAATGATGTTGTCCCATGCCATTATTTTAAGAAGCAAGTGATAGTCAAACCTCAGAGAGAAGCGTTCACCTTCCCTGCCTAGCTACTTGATCAAATTGGCAGGTACTGAAATCCCTGAAGTCTTCCTTGCCTATGACTTATCTTAAGTCAGGCAGCAAAGCTTTCCCTCAGCTTTCCAAAATAAGACTCATTAAATAATGCAAAAGCCATTTCTGTCTATATAAAGCTACTTTCTATAGCTTATATAGATTGCTAACAAATGAAAGAACTGGATGAGCAAGTTCTAAGAATGAGTCTTATTAACATACAGTAACATATGCTCTTAATTTCTTAGAGAGACAGTTGGGTAGCCTAGATAAACAACATTACAAGCAGAAAAGTGAGCAGACATGTAAATGAGAGCAAACACAAGTGA